TGAGTTGTTATAAAGGTTTTAGCGTCAGCAGATTATGTCAGAATGAAGAAATATTTTTGTGTAAGTACAATGTTTTTTTTTTCTCTGTGGACAAATGCAACATGGGATAAAGTTGAGAAATATAATTGTATTGATTCTGATTAATGTTAATTGAATAGGCAGGTGGGTCATTTTGATTAAAGTGAGATTGCTTTAGAATGGCATCCAAAGATTTCCCTCAAGCTAAAGTATCATTATTACAACCCGATTGCAGTGAGAGTTAATTCCCGCTGCAATCGCAAGACTTTCAATGCATGAGCTACTTTAGAGAGATTAAGTTGTTTTAGAGTTATATTTAATTTGTCTTCAATTAAGGATTCATCTATCAAGGCACAAAACCCTCTAAATTAGAGAAAATGTGGGGTGGAGTAATTTCGTTTATTTGATTTAATGCTTTGCACAAGATTTCCCCGTTGAAAACATGATGCTTTGAAGTGCATATAATTCAGTGAACACTGGTTGTTGGCAATATAACCATCCTGAGCATTATTAATTGTTTTTTTTTGTTTTTTTTTTTTTTGCCATGTTATGTCTAATTCAGTCATATAGAGCATAAACTTCAATTGAGGCAATTACAAAAATTAATTGAAATGACTATAGAAATAAAAATAAGAAAATGCATATAGGCAGTGGATGAATGGATGGACAAAAAATGGATGGATGAATGGACAAACAAACAAATAATGGATGGATGAATAGATGGATGGATGGATAAATGAATGAATGGATGACGAGCAAACAAACAAATTAAGGATGGATGGATGGACAAACAAAAAAATCAAGGATGTATGTATGGATGAATGAACAAAAAAAATTAGTATGGATGGATTGATGGATGGATGGACGAACAAACCAACACAAATAAATAAATTATAAGGATCAATGGATGTAAAAACAAACAAATTAGTATGGATGGATGGATGTACGTACGGACGGATGAACAAACCAACACAAAGAAACAAATTATAAGGATGGATGGATGAAAAACCAACAAATTAAGTATGGATGGATGGACGGACGAGCAAACAAAAAAAATAAGGATGGATGGACAAACAAACAAATCAAGGATGTATGGATGGATGAATGAATGAATGAACAAACAAACAAATTAAGTATGGATGGATGATGGATGGATGGACAAACAAACCAACACAAAGAAACAAATTATAAGGATGGATGGATGAAAAAAACAAACAAATTAAGTACGGTTGGATGGATGGATGGATGGATGGACAAACAAACAAATTATGGATGGATTGACAGATTGATGAATTGATGGATGGATGGGTTTGTCACAAAGTAATCCTTAACTGGATCCTGTTTTGGATGGATGGATGGATGGATGGATGGACAAATAGAAATGCCTTGAATAAGAATATTCCAAGCAAGAACAATTATACATAAAAGTATGCAAGAAAATATCAGAAAAGGGCTATTTAACACAGATTTGAAAATAGGAATCCATCTACAGAAATCCTGTTGATGAAGCTCATCACATCTCTGGCAGAGTCATATTTGAAACGGTGATGCTGCATTGTGTTTGGAGATGCTTGTTTACAACAGGGACTGGAAAATTCACTGAGATAGAGGGAAAAATTGATGGATGCAGAAAAACCTGCAGGAAACGCTGCAGTCCCCAGAGAACACGCACGTGGAAAACAATTCATCTTCCAGCAGACCAGGACACAGAGCTGAAGCCTGTGGTGTGGCTTCAAATCCAAAAGGCCCTATCTATAGACTAGAGGCCCAGTCAAATCCCACACCGCAATCCATTTGAAATATTGTTCACAAATATTCCCCATCCAACTTTCCAAAAGCAGTTTTGACAAGAAAAAAAAATGTCAACATGACGCTTTACGGCATGCAATACTGATATACTCAAAGAGACATATAGATGCTTCCAAAGGTAGGGTACAACGGGCTAAAGACGTGACGAGGTAAAAGCTGCAGTGTCTTTATTCTCTATATTATGTCAGTTATATTAAAATGTAATCATGCAACAATGAGTTGATTCCAACTGTTGCTGTCTCTATTTAGCACATCTCTGATCCATGATCTTCTTATACTCTCTTCTAAGACTCTGACTGTTGAAGTTTTGTGCTTTCCATGCTGCTTTTTTCAGCCGAGCAGCTCAACATTTTAATCGGATTATTTTCCCTGGCAATCCATGCGTGTAGTTCACATTATTAGCCTAATGATTTCTTGCAGTTTGGATTGCCTGCCGAAGACACAAAAGACAACTTTAACAAATTGGTGTCAAATAATAATAATGTAGTCTCTAAAGTTGTCCGATAAAAATGCAATATGTTTGCAATGCCTTTGAAATTGGCCACTGGAAGTTGATCGTGGCAGTGGACATGTGATCCTCTCTGTGCTTTAGTGTCAGAGAGAGACAAAATCCTTGAAATCCTTTCTGCTAGAGGACACCTGTGATAAACATGACCATTTATTGCAGCATATTTAGCATGGATTATTATAAGTAGGCTATTAATAAAAATTGTAAATGGAAATACATTCAGTTGAGATCTTTATAGGGTTGGATATTTTTATTTTAAATACATTTCCATCTATTTATCCCCATCTCTGGGGGTTGCAACAAATTATTCGTAGAAAAAAAAAATAGAAAAAAAAAATAGTTTCGAGTTCATTTAAGTGTGTTTTTTAAACAATTCACCAGAGGGTGCCAGAGTGCAGGAAAAGAGCAACCTGTATTTTATGGATCTTGAAGAAGGTCAGAGCATTTACTTTAAAATAAAGTCAAAACAAAACATATATTTTTAGAATAATACAAAAAGAATAGAAATAAACGAACCTTGATTAAAACCATGTTTGCTCTATAGGAAAGACTTAAACACAAAAGATTGTAAGGCGCACTAAAAATGTATTGCTTAGACAAACTAGATTGGATTATTTACTTTAAAGTAATATTTTAAAGAATATTATTTTAAAAAAAACATTTAATAGCAAATATTCAATACACAATATTTCTAACTATTCATAACTAAGTCCAACATGATCAAACAGCTTTTAGTGATTAAACAAGAACAAAGGTTAGATCTATAGTGTGTAGTGTGTAAATCTACCCAACAGTGTGTGTTATATTGACGCTAAAGGGTGCCATGTGCGTAGTATTTCGACGAAATGTCATATGGCGTCATGTATATGTGTTGGTAATGTATGAAACAGAGCCTACAGAAGTGTATCAGGATCACAGCATGAGCAAGTTGTCACAATGGAGACCTAGCAAGGGTGTAAAATGAAGTAGGGATGCTATATCCAGCGGCTATTAAATTGTGGTTTTGATCAAACAATTAAAGTCATCATGAAATAAAAATGGACAGAAGGATTTACTCATGCATATCTTTTTTTATTATTATTATTCAACTGGCATCATAATCTTTAATCAAAATAACTTCTAGTTGACATCTCTTCTGTTCTCTGATGACATGTTTACTGATGGACAACCGGTCAGTCACGATTGCTACGGGTAATCAGAGAGAAATGTAAATCAGAGATTGCTTTTTATTTTATTTTTTCGTTTTTTCGTTTAATACCAGTTCCAGGTAGTTATCTGGGTGATGTCATTTTGTTTCTGTCAGAAAGAAAGCAATTATGGTTTATGGACACAAGACTAATAATCTGCATTAGTTTTAGAGGACATAATGGCTGAAGCTCAACATTTATAACCAGACCGTGAGAGAAGAGTAAACATTTAAAGTCACCCCCACCCTGCAAATAAATATTAGCTGTCCTTGTTTAGACAGTAAAAGCCAGCATCACCCATGTAAGATACACAGCACATTTAATTGAGCACACTTTATGTGTTATGCCTTTTTATCATGCTAGATTTATTTTTCACAACACTTAAAGATTGTATAATGCATTGTTAAGTATCTTTATAAACCTTATAATTATGCTGATATGCTGTCATAAACAATTTTAACTAATGATATGATACATTAAACTGTAATGCTATTAATGGTTGGTATATATTTATCTACCATCATTCGATTATTGATTATTATTTTTCTTTTGTGTTTAACAGAAGAAAGGAACTTATACATTTTTGGGTGGAGTCCGAATCTGAACTTCCGGTTCTGTTGTCAATCCGCGTTCACGAGTCCCCAGTGACGGTGGTGACGTGTGCCTAGTGCGTCCGTATATATGGGTTCAAATAGCCTAAATATGGCTCGGCAAAAAACTACAAGTCTTCCTCTGTGTGGAAATCCTTAGACATATTTTCGAAGATTGTTTTGTTTATAGCGTGCGTCTCCCTCAAAACAAAGCTCCGGCGCACAGATAACACGTCAGCAGCGTCTTACGTCACCACCGTCACTGAACGCGGATCCTCAGAACCGGAAGACAATACAATTCTGAATAAAGTCATAGTTTTTGTTAATTTTGGACCAAAATGTATTTTCGATGCTTCAAAACATTCTAACCCACTCATGTCACATGGACTACTTTGATGATGTCTTTATTTCCTTTCTGGGCAAGGACAGTAGGCTATACCATACATGTACATTATCAATAGAGGGACAGAAATCTCTCAGACTAGACTATTCCGTATTCCGAGGATGAACGGAGGTCTTACGGGCTTTAATGCACGTAATTGATGACATAATTTTTCATTTTTGGGCGAACTAACCCTTTAAAGAGCCATATTCAACCCCTAATATGTGTTATACAGGTTTGACAATGTTCTGTTCTTAAACTCTGTCTGGAACCGTCTGTTGCACATTTAATTTTAAAGGTTTGATTTTAAATTTGTATGTATCCCATGAACATACAATTAATCTATCGGAGCCTGCAAAGATTCTCCAGATGATTTCCTTTTAAGACTCCATCATCTGAGCTGTTGCTGTACAACTATTGGCCACGAGCAGCGTCACTCAAGCGGCAAATCCTCCAATCCGGATGCAGTGTAGGCGGTCTCTTCTCCTCCCCCCCACAATCCCTCTCTTCCTACCGCCCACGCACACACACGTCTCCTGCCCTTGAATGAGGAGTGATCTGTTCGTGTTTTGAATTTGCAGTGTCTGTCTGTGTGTTTCTCCATGCTCGTGCTTCAGCTCAGATGGGACACGGAAGTGCAGCGGCTGTCTGGCACATGAACGCGCGCGGCTGGTCTCTCTGGCGGGACATCCCAGGCACGGGATGCTGAACGGGAGCCGTGAGGGTTTGTTTGAACTGGGCAGGCAGCTCCAGCAGGAAGGAGACTCTCAAGCTGCTCTGCACTGCTTTCTGAGCTGCCTGCTGGGACTCACACATGTGCAGAGCTTCCACTCGCTGCCCAACTGCCTGCATCAGGTGAGCCCTGCAGGACGGAGCTCTGTAATGATGCATTATGGTATAGAACCCTTTCAAATGGGCTTTTAATGTAGGAGATGACTATTTACACGCAAAATTGTTGGTAGGCTATATAGCATGCATATGCAAATAATGCACAGTTGATTGCACATGTAGTTTGCATGCAAAAAACTTCTCACATGCATTCCGTGTAATGACTCGATGGCACACTAACCTAAAACTAGCTTTCAGTCAATGCATATTTTAAACTGGCAAATGCATTCTGAAACATTAATGCTGTACACTGACAGCATGAGCCGGTGTTGTGCCTAATTTCGACCCCCTGCCAAATTATTACCCCCCTCGTTGAAGTCAGTACCTGATTGCCTAATCCCAACCCCGCCCCTAATCTTAACCCCTCCCCCACAACTAATCCTAAACCTACCAATACTAGGGGGGTAATAATTTGGCGGGGGTCGAAATTCGGCACAACACCGGCACAGCAAAAACACTCTCTCACATGCAAAGATTGTGCACACACACACAGACAGGAGACGTGTTTGACGCGTGTAGCAAGGTTTGTTTGTTGTGTTGCAAGCTATTGCAATAGCTATTCCGTGTCCATCACGTGTTTACATGAAACATCAGGGAAATTTATCGAATAATGTCTGCAGTTTATTACACATAATACATGTTTATTTATGTGTTCACTTCCCTTCAGTAATCATAGAATCTGTTCATGGCAGTTCGTCAGATAAAAACACTCATCCCTGGTTTCTCTGCTCACTCTGTGTTTCTCTCACAAGGGTCCCAAGTAGGCTAATGTCCAGAATATAAACAGTGGCACTTACACAAGAGTACTGGAATGTGTGTTATGACATTGGCCAGACAGAGTCTCTTCTGACCGTATGAAAAATACATATTTAGAATTTGCTAAAATTTATCCCTAACATTGACTATAATATTTCATCTGAGGTATTTTGACATGTTAAAAGTTATAATAACTAGAATGTTACATGTTGAGTGAATCTGATAATCCATTGTGTTGTTTTAGTCTAAATTCAAAAGGAAGAAAAATAACATTTTATATAACAAAAAAGAATTATTTTAAAATTATTTTAATTTTAAGAACGTTCATTTTTTTTGCATTTTGTCATCATTTCCATGACATTTAAGCAGTTTTTTGAAGCAATTTAAGCACATAAACCAGATTATTGCAAAAAAGTGCATTACTGTAATGTGTATATATATATATATATATTATATATATATATATATATATATATATATATATATTATATATATATGAAGAGTTCAGATGCAAAAGCTCTAAATGCCATTTGAAATTTTCTTCTAAAATTATCATTTTTATCAAGCTTGTATATTTAAGTTCAGTAATTTCACTTAAATGGCAATGAAGATTACCTATTAATTGTCATTTAAGTGAAATTACTGAACTTAAATATACAAGCTTGATAAAAATGGTAATTTTAGAAGAAAATTTCAAATGGATTTAGAGGCTTTTGCATCTGAACTCTTCATATATATATATATATATATATATATATATATATATATATATATATATATATATATATATATATATATATGTATGTATATAGGTAGATAGATAGATAGATAGATAGATAGATAGATAGATAGATAGATAGATAGATAGATAGATAGATAGATAGATAGATAGATAGATAGATCATGACAACTCTCAGAGAATTGAAAATAATTTTATTGCTAAGAATGGAATGTACATAATATTGTTTGTCTTGACGGACTAGATTTGCTGCTGCTGGCATGAGTGAAGGCTACTTCCAAAAAATGCACATACACATAGGATACAAGCAGCTGTAAGGAAAGTAGGAAGAACCCCCTGCAGAACTAGGCAGGTGGAGCTGGGGAAGGTGGTGGGCTAGGAAGATTCCCATTGTACTTTGCAGCCAGTTCAGGACAGAAATAAATAGGTTACGTAGATAGAACAAAATAATGATTGGTCCATGCAGCCAACTCTAAGAGAAATATACTATATATATACTGTATATGTATATAAAATTTTTAAAATGTCATTCTCCTCCTAAAGCCATCTGCATAGCCAATCAGTCTTTATATTTACTACTGTTTTAGATATGTATTTATGTTTATATATCTATGTTTATGATGCATTATGGTAATAAGCGATAGAGATTAATTCTCTAATGTGAAAATTTTTCCTTCATTCTAAAATGTGTTTATTTCTTTCTCTCTGGATTTGCTTTCTCTCTTTTATTTGAAGAAGTTTTGAATTTTTCAGACAATATTCTCTCTTAATTCCTTCATACAGATTGCTGAACTCTACATTGATGAGAAGAATTGTATCCTTTTTGATCAAGTATCAACCCTCGCTCCACATTGTGTAACAGAACAAGTTATAAATCCTTTTTATCAGCACAACAAACATGTAATGAAACGCTGTATGTTTTATGCAGTTTGGTAATACAACTGTAGCTTCTTCAGTGTGGTCTTTTCCCTAAGAGGATTTGTGGACACTTATCGAATCTCAGCTGAAAGAGCATCACAGCTAATTAACCTGCTTAGACCCAGCATGAGCTCCCTTGTCATTATTCATCCACGGGCTGCCATTAACAACAAGGCTAGTGTTACGTGACATACATTCCCTCTTAAACCCATGGCCTCTCAATTACTAAAGCATAGAGTTTAAACGGGTTCAAGACTGGTAGTTTCAGCTCAAACGGGGTCATTTACAAGTCATTAACCAAGATCATTCATAACCTCTTTTCCAATTAAAATCCAATTACATGTGAATTGGTTTCAACGTATTTTCTATGATCTTAAGCAGTAAATAGTGGTGGGACTTGGTGAAAAATGTGATCTCTGTGTAATTACATAAAAGAGAAATAATTGATGTAGATGTTATCATTTAATTGAATAAGCTGTTTAATTACATGCAAAACATTAGTCTGTTCAATCAATGCACAACAGGGGACTTTGGAATAGGTGATTTGAGGAGCTGGGATGAATTGGGTGTGGTTACACAGAGATGTTATCTGGAATGTTCTGCCATTCTATTATCCTCATATGAACCAGTATATACCAGTAAACGGTAGAATGGTGAATTAGGGTGTAAAACACGTATACTTGCTTGCAATGGCAATTGTTTCAGTCCACATTATTTTGACAGAACTGCCCACATACACACACTGGACCTGAGCGTTTGACTGACACGTGAACACAGTCCAGTACAGAAAATGTTAGTGTCAGTAAGATTTGTTTTTAAAAGAATAAGTGACATTGACACTGTAGACATGTATAATCTGATACATTTTTGTATTTAAAATGCATTCTGATTTTATTCTTTCTTTTTTTTACTTTACTTTTCACCCCAAAAAAATGGAGTAAAAATCGGAGAAATGGCTGCTGAAATTTATATATTCAAAAAATAAAATATATTCGAATAGAAAGAAAGTTATTTTAAATTGTAATAATATTTCAAAATGTTACTGTTTTATTTAATCAAATAAATTTAGCCTTGGTGAGCCTAAGAGACTAAAACAATTCCCAATCTTACCAATCCATAACTTTTGGTAGTGTAAAAGGAAAGCTTTTATGCCACAAATCTTGCAAACGTATAAATGAAGTAAAGGTTTTTCTTCCAAAGCACTCATTGTAGAAAACAGTAAATTTAGTTTTTCTGTCCTCAAAGAAAAAGTGAGGGTACTAGCCTACTTCAAGCACTACTTATAAAAGGTTTGTCAGGGTAAGACAAAAACACGTTTTGGAAAAAGGATTTACATTTTTGTTCATTTTGAACAAAAATAAATGTTATACCTTTACCTAAAACTAAAAGGTCACTGACTGATTATATATTGAATGCTAAGCAATATTTCTAAAAATATGAAGCATGAGGACACGGGCCTTTAATCAAATGGAGAGGAAGGCAATGCTAAATGAACGACTAAAATCCACACAGAATAAATTGTTCCTGGTCTCACCTCCACAGCTATTTCAACAGTTAGCATCACGTTCACCACAAATAGATTTATCACTTTCAAACTGATCCCCATGTGGTTAGTCAGCAAATTCAGATGTTCCTCAGCCAGCTGGGATCTAAAAATATGTCCGGGACACCTGGGAATATGCTGCCCATTCTTGGAAAAGATCATTTTAAGAGAGACAACATAACTTAGCACTGCTTATAATGAGACGCATTGTCATCAGTAAATGAAAAAAACGTAGAATTTTTCCAAGTTTATTGCTAGACCATGTAAACTAAAAGTTTGGGGTTGGTAAAAAGTTTAAATGTTTTTGAAAGAAGTCTCTAATGCTCACTAATCATGCATTTATTTGATGTAGTAAAACAGTAATATCATTACAATTTAACATAACTGTTCTATTTGAATATATTTTAACATTACATTTATTTATGTGATCATGTCATCATTACTCTGTTCAGTGTCATTTGATCCTTTATAAATCATTTTATTTGGTGCTAAAGAAAACATTTATTTTTATCAAGTCAATACACCTCTATTTATATAGCACTTTATAAAATACAGATGGTTTTCGAAGCATCTTTACAATGAAAATAATTTAATGATTTAAACAGTTCATTTTAGCTGTAGAGCAGCTCTAAAAGAAAATAGTGTCATTGTTCAGCTGAAGTCAGTTATTCAGTTCTGTTATAAAGATCATCAATTATTACATTAGTTCATTTCTTCTATAAAGCAGTTCTGTAGAAAAACAGTGATGTCATCATCAAGCACAGTTTACTTCTCTTCCAATAGAGTCGGTGCAGTCAGATCAGTGATATTGCTGAATATTAAGTGATGTAATATTATTTTTTATAAAAATAAAACGTAATATATTTGTGGAACCTGTGATATACAGACATATACTGTTTGTTTATGTATATATATATGTATATATATATATATATATATATATATATATATATAATGTCTAATTTCCTTAAAAAAATCTTACTAACCTTTTGAATGATAGTGTATACAGTACTTGTTTGACTTTTTTAGTTTGTTTATTTGATATAATTAATACTGTAGCTAAAACAAACTTTTAAGTTACTGCACATACAAATAAGAAATACTGCTAATATCTAGGTCATTCATGGCTATTTTAAGAACATTTTCCTTTCTGGCTGTATTTTTGTAATGACACCTGAGGGCAAATACGATGATCTTACAAAGAGATGGTAATGACAAGCCTTTGAAAACATTGAACAAACTTTTTAGTGACTATTTATAGAACTGCTGCAAGCGTTGTGTCTTTCTATAGAGCTGAAATGAGTAGGTGACACAAACACTAACCAATCAAAATATCAAACAGGCCTTGAGCTAGAATAGGGATTGTATGTTTGACTGTTTTTCTGTTTATGCAATACATCAAATTTTCAGTGAACACCTGTGTTTTTTTATTGTCTTAGGTGATGCTAGCTGCTGAACAAATCAGGATTTCACTGAGCTGGAGTAATTGGGAGTGTGTGTGTGTGTGTGTGATCATAACAAAAGTCTATTTCATGGTGACAAGCATGTCTAATCCTTGACCTGTATAAAATCAGATGGGAAAGCTCTGCAGTTCATTCAGGCGGAGAAGATGTTTTACGAAGTGGCATTGATCGAGCTCACCTCGCTGCAGGCCAGCACAGGCAGGTCCACTTTTTATGGCTTTACGTAAATATATTTTTATGATTCTGTTGAATGGACATGTGTTTGTGAATAGACATTAAGCAATATCTCACAAGCAAGATGTTCAAGTCAGCAGCATGATTGGGATAGTGTGTACAACTGTTCAACAAACACACTTTGTAATTTTGCTCCATCAACAAAAATAGTTCCAAACAAAGTCAAAGCTTTCCTTCTAGAATGAATCTGTGTATCAACTAATTGGTTCAGTGAATTATTCAATAGCTTACTTGCAAAGATATTAGGTGCATTCCGATCGACCGCAAGTGCCCTGCGAAGTACACTTCGATGGGTATTGTGTCATCGTAAGTGAAATTCCAATTCAAAGGGAACATGCACTCTTAAAATGAAAGGTCCCAAAAGGGAATTTTCACACTGAAGGCCATAAAAGAACCATTGGTTAATTTTTTTTAAACTTTTTCGACTGTAAAGAACCTTCTGGGAAATGCAAAGGTTGTATGGATGTTAAAGGTTCTTCTTGGATCAATCAATCAAATCAATAACCTTTTTATTTTTAAGAGTGCACATGTTCAGTTTAAAGGGCACTGCAAACGGCATGAAAAGAATATGGTGTTTATAAGAATATATTGGTTTTTACTAGGGCTGTCAAACGATTATTCGCGATTAATCGCATCCAAAATAAAAGTTTGTGTTTACATAATATTTGTATATTTTTATATAATATATTATATATATATATATAATATTTATATAATATTTATATATATATATATATATACAAAATAATTATACACAGTGCACCCACATATATTATGTAAACACAAACTTTTATTTTGGATGCGATTAATCGTTTGACAGCCCTAGTTTTTACACATTTGTTCACCGGTAAAAAGTCCACAAGATGCGACGGTTACAATACAGTGATCATTATTAAGGGTCATATAAGATAAGAAGACATATCTTATATAACCAAATTACATTTTTCATATTTTGCTTGTTTCGTTCCTGAATGAATCAGTATTTTGAGTAAATGATTCATTAGCTTTACATTTACATACACCCAAATAATAGGATTGATGGCTCAAGCGGACTGAAAAGCCTTCATTTTAGACTCCAGTCGATTCGATTGAGCTTGATCTGAATTATATTTTGTTCGTAATAGCCTACATGTAATGCAGCGAATTTGTGAATCAGAGTGCAACGTTTAGGGTTGATATAAACTGAATCTGGAATCGAACTGGGTTCATTCGTTTTGGTGAAAACGAGTGTATGTAGACCTATTTACCATCCAAGTACCGTATATTAAATAAATGACAGAAAATAATCATCTCTGTCCCTTTCAAACCTTCTTCTGACAAACATTGCCATAAATTTGCCGCAGATTGATCACAATTTTGCAGCAAATAAATCGTAATGGTTCAAGTCCGCAAGTCTGCTTCCACAAAACACTGAACATTGACCCAACAACCAAACCTGTCCCCAAGGTCCTGTCAGAGAGCAGTAATGTACTTAACAGAGGAGGTTCATCTGCTGTGAGATGAACCAGTATTTATGGATGAAGGAGACCCATTGATCTCATCCCATGGTGGACATCTAGCTTTCCTCTGGCTCTCTGCTTGCTGCTGAGACAGCATAGAGGTCTAGCATGGGCAGAGAGTACAGGGATTTATGACCACGCTATACATTACCTCATTAAAGAGCTGTTGAGTACCATGGAGACGCTGCCTGAGTCAGCACTTTGTGTGATTTCTACCCTCTGGCCTTACTCCGTTCCCATCATGCGTTCTCAATACACCAAAAGATTTGTGTAGAGCAATGTTGTGTCTGCAACATTTAATAAGTGTGTTAATCCAGTAAAATGAAGTTTGAATACAGAAGTGCATTTCTTTGGGGCCGTTTGCATGGAACAAGTTTTGCACTCCACTCATGCGAGTAATGCAACATACTTCTGATATTTACGCTACGCCATGGCGAACTACGCTACTTCCGACTTCACAAGTTGTGCAAGTTGCTCTTTAGGCGCAAATAGACTCAACACATTACAAAGTAAAATTCTAACTTGTAATGTAAATATTTTTCTTACACGAATGCATCGCTTCGCTTCAGAAGGGCTTTATTAAACCCCCGGAGTCCTGTGGATCACATTTATGATGGACAGTAAGTAATTAGTTACTGTAATTTAATTACTTTTCCCTTGAAAATGTAATGTAAAGGATTACTCTTCATTTATCTGTAATTTAATTACAGTTACTTCTGATGTAATTGAGGTAAATACTGTGTATAGATCAATCCGATCTCACAGCGATTCGTATGCGTTTTATGAGGTGTCTAAATCGTACCACCGCACTCGTACAAATTCTTATGAATTATTGTAAAATATGTATGAAAAATGTGAGAAATGGCATGAGATCAGACATAAAACAATAGTGGGTTTAACGTCAAAATGTATTGTCTGATGTTAAAAAGTATGTTTTTATAATGTAAAACTTCTCCACTTTGGTCAGTTTAAGGATAATTCATGCAATTTTATAGTATTTATTTGAAAGAATTAAAACAGATTCATGTCTATCCTTTTATTATTCAGCTGGTTGAGATTGATATGGGATTTTGAAGGTAATTGATTAGTGATTACTGTACTAATTAGTCTCTCTGAAAAGTATTTAATCTAATTACCCTGTTGAAGAGGTAATTAGTAACTAATTAATTACTTTTTTACTTTTTTAACTTACCCAACACTGATGATGGATAGAGGCACTTTTATGGTCTTTAAAACAAACAACCATTCGCTGGCATAAAGCTTGGAAGAGCCAGGACATTTTTAACTACGATTTTATTTGTCTGAAAGAAGAATTGATAGCGTCAGGGAGTAAATCATGCGCTAATTTTCATTTTTTGGGTGAACTATCCCATTAAACTGTCAGCTTAAAGGAGAACTCCGGCACACAATAAACCTTTGGTCTAATAAAACTTTGGTACCTAGTTAACCGTTCTCTGAGATTTGTTTTCATGATAATCAAATGTAAAGAGTTTAATCTCTAAAAACTGTTTAGTGTATAACACTAGTATATGGGGGCATATAATAAGTAAAAAGTAATCAGTAGTTAATACCACTAACAAGGCTCAAAATAGCCCCACACTAACACAGTAACATAACGAGGGTCCCTACATGCAAAACGAAGCATTGAGAACTTTATAAGTGTACAGACCGTTTAATAAGAAGATATTTTATAAAGACAGTCCACTTCGTGTATACACAGCAGGAGCCATCTTTGGAAAACAGTTGCGACAAGTCGAACCACGAACGTCGTGCTAAAGTGAACTGTACTGTTCAGCGAACGGCGATCGTGGTTCGACTTGTCGAGACTGTTTTCTCCTGCCTGTATACACAATGTACACAATCGTTTTGCATGTAGGGACCCTCATTATGTTACTGTGTAAGTGTGGGGCTATTTTAAGCCTTGTTAGTGGTATTAACTATCAATTACTTTTTACTTATTATGCCCCCATATTACTAGCGTTAAATGCTAAACAGTTTTAGAGATAAAACTATTTACATTTGATTATCATGAAAACAAATCTCCGTGGTGGAAGTTATCCCGCACAAAATAGGGGTTTTAAAGACTCTCTGTTGTTGTTTCTTATTGAATGATATGAAATGTCACACGAGTAGGAGTGTGATATGGCTCTGTATCAGCGCGTCTGTGATCGCCTCCTGTACTCGGCCTGTGGCCTTGTGTCTATGGCCCAATCACAGCCGTGCTGATATCATACTCCTACTCCTGTGATATTGCTCATGTATTGCCAGAACATTAATCTTACAATCAGGTCTTCATTGTAAATTAATATTGATTCCCAGCCAGGCAGAGAATATAATTTAGTAATCTTCTTGGCATTGCCAGTTGGTCTTTCTAAGCTTCTGTTTTCCATATGTTTTCATTTCCTTGTAAGAGCATTTGAATCTGTGGGTGTGGTGCCAGTGATCGGCCATCGCTCTCTCTCTCTCTCTCTCTCTCACCCTCCCTCCCTCTCTGTCTTTTTTAGTCTTGTCACTGTCTTGTCGTCTCTGTACATGCAAGTTTTTTTGCATCGTCTGTGAGGTTTCTGACAGACTTTGTGTGAATCAGGGTCTCAGGAAGACGGGACATTGGGAAACTCAGGATGTCTGTCTCAAGAGGAGTTATCAGAACAGGCTTCTCAGGCCCAGGATCTTGAGAGACTGGCTCAGCTCAGCATCATGAGCAAGAGGTAGGAGAGTCAACTCACTGCATGCTATATATATTTTAAATGTAAAGTCAATGTGTATTGATAGAGGGCTTTTCATGAGCACTTGATGCATGATTTTGGGCGATGCATTCAATCATTCTTACTTAATTTGGCCCAGTTCTACTCCAGATCATTTGTCCACACTACATTTCTTGTTTATGTCTCATCTAAGAAATACTCGACTGCTGTTCTAGTAACTTTTCTTAGTAATGTAAACAAATTCAAAGAGTGAACTGTTTCATATGGTAACATTCAGCTTTACCGGTTTTATTAAAGAGAAAATGTAAATGATTTAAAATATTTCAAATGATGGGCAGCATTTATACAGCATGTCTTCTGATTTGGTTAATATTTTGGAAGTGCAGTTAAAGTTTTGGGATGTACACAAGTTTTTATTTATGCTGCGTTAGGAATCCCTTACTATACTGGCTCAAGTGTGCGCTCGTACGGAGAGAGGAAGAGAAAGGTGACTTGTGTTATGTGAGTCTCAAGGTTTCAGATGTTACTAGGACACTCTGAGAGAGGTGTCCACTTTCCTCCAGGGGCTTAAAATGATGAGGCGGTCTTTTGTAAGTCACTACCACATACACTTGAGGACATTTATGACTACCAGTTGGCCCTTGTTGGGGACTTAAAGCATTTAACCTGATTGTCTCCGGGAAGGAGATGGGTAGGTTGTTGATGCCACAGGAGAGAGGATGGCATTAAACTTGAATGAGAACGAGATTGTTTTATTGCCTCTCCAATAAGATAATGTTTCGCAGGACAAAGAAATGTGGGGGTATCCACACCATTTGTATGTAATCCCTTAAACTCTTTGGCTCAGGTAACTCTTGAAACCGGAACAGGATAGATCTTCAAGCTCTGTTGGTAAACTAGGACAGCAGACATGGTTGAAGTTGTTGCTATTTCAGCAAAAAACAAATGTGACCCCTTTAATAATATCAGTTTAGGGGGTAATGTCCGGACACTCATTTTTGACCTTATAATTAAATTATGATTCATACAAAAACACAATTATTTAACAACGGCTGCGTCCGAAAGCTTAGACTTGCTTTCTTCACAGGCATCGTTTGCACACAAAGTGTAACTATTTAATGATCAACTGCAAAATAGATAATAAAGAAATAAAACTCATTTATAGAATGAAATTCTTAAACAGAAAAAACTAAGTAGTTTGGCTTAATATTATATTTCTTCGAACATTTTTAAAAAAAAGTCATGCTGTGCAACATGCACAAAATAATAATAATAACAACAACAGACAAGGCAAAGTTACTTCAAGTTGTAAATTTTCATGTGCTGTAGATATATATATATATATATATATATATATATATATATATATACACACTTTTAAACAATTTTCTTCCATTTCTTAACAATGTGGACATTCTTATATTATTGACCCTCAAATCAATTATTGTCCATTTATTTATTTGACTCCCCTCTGATACCCCAAAAATGAGCTTGTATTACTTTTTCAGGTAACAAATAAATATACTTGAATGTCTGATAGTTTTGACACAAAATGTAGCTCAAGTCTTATTGAGTGAATAGGAAATGGTTCTGCCTCTTGAATCTTTCAGTGTTGGGGCAGGAAGTGCTCTTGTAGCTGAGAGCTTTGCCATGTTGTTGTGTCCGATCAGATGTCCTTTGAGGACAATCCAAAACAGTGCAAACCCAACACCTAGTCATGATTAATTAAAGCAAGACCATAATAACCACACTGACATATGTATTGGGTTTTAAAAACATACTCTACATAGAAGTGAGAAGTACAGAAGAGTATTAAAAATGTGACATTCAAAGCGCACGTGAAGGATTCAATATTGAATTACTGACCTATATGCAAAAAAAAAAGCTAATTAAAGTCATCTTACTAAACAATAGTGCTGCAATATGGACTGCGTAGTGCTAAATGACCCCATGAAGAAAAATTTCCATGTGAAATCCCTTTGGGAAATTCTCATTATACACCTTGAGGGCAAAGCAGCGCCTATCTAAACAGCACCATTCTTCACACACATGCCAAGAGTTCCAGTTGAAAAGAATAGAGTGGCATATCTCTGGCACGGGCCGCACATTTCCACTACCTCCTTCAGGAATCATAGCACAAGTGTTCCCAGATTTGTTGTGACGGGTGCTGTAATGGATCCGCATGCCTCACCGAGCCTGACTGAGGTGGGCTATTGCTGTGGTATTCTGAAACTGTCTGTATCTGTGCTTAAATTAAGCAAAGGTGCCAGGCCTGTGGGATCAATAGAGCTTTATGCCTATGTGCTCTACTTTTTTTTGCCACCGCTTCCCAATAGTAAATGTAAATATAGACAGAATTAATATGGTGTATATATATATATATATATATATATGAGTCAGAGGATTTAGATAAAGGATGCACATTGTTATCGTTGGTGCCAACATAATTCATCATACATGTCTTTGTAATTTAAAACTCTTGTGTATTTGCTTTTTACAGGCTAAGGCTCCTGTACCAAATGTTCAAGTGTACCAAACCTTATGAATCATCTTTACCATCAGATAAGCGTACTGCCGCATTACTCATGCTATTTATACAGGATGTGCTGTGCACATTTTCTGGATGCACAACTGTCTGGATAAAAAAGGACAATTTATACTTTTAAAAAGTGTATTTATTACAGGTGCAACTTTAATGAAAAGGTATTAAACTTAGCTTAAGTTTGGAGTGCTTTTTGACACACTTAAAATATATTTACTTGTAATATTGTAATTTAATATTACCACTACAGTTACTACAATTATTACCAAGTACTTGTTAAATGTTGGTCAACAACACATCAAAATAAGTGTACTTCTTTAATTAAAGCATAAACAAATATAATCAAAATATCTTGATTTAAAATGTAATATAAAGTGAACTTTAACTTGACAATTACAAAGTACATGTTTTAAAAGTGTATTTATGTGTGTTAAGAAACATAAAAGTGCTCTGTTTACACTTGTGGTATTTTATTTGAAGTATATTTCTTTAAATAGTATAGTTAATATAAATGTATGTTGTATGTATATATATTTATGTATATTAGGGCTGTCAAACGATTAATCATGATTAATTGCATCCAAAATAAAAGTTTGTGTTTACATAATATATGTGGGTGCACTGTGTATAATTATTTTATATATATAAATACACACATATGCTTGTATATATTTAAGAAATATTTTCATGTATATACTGTATATAGATTTAAATACACTTTATATTATATATAAATAGAAATATTTTTTCTTGAATATACATGCATGTGTGTGTGTGTATACAGTATATATGAAGAGTTCAGATGCAAAAGCCTCTAAATGCCATTTGAAATTTTCATCTTTAATGATGATTTTTATCAAACTTGTATATTTAAGTTCAGTAATTTCACTTAAATGGCAATGATAATTACCTATTAATTGTTATTTAAGTGAAATTACTGAACTGAAATATACAAGTTTGATAAAAATCAATATTAAAGATGAAAATTTCAAATGGCATTTAGAGGCTTTTGCATCTGAACTCTTCATATATATATATATATATACACAAAATAATTATACACAGTGCATCCACATATATTATGTAAACAAAAACTTTTATTTTGGATGTTATTAATCGCAATTAATAGTTTCACAGCCCTAGTAAATAAATATATATATATATTTGAGATTTAAAGTACACTACAAGTGCACATTATTACCACAAGGGTAGTACGCTACATTAGCCAAATTGTAAAGTATAGAATCAGGGTGCACTGCATCCCACAATGCAATGTACACAACAACTTGACCTTTCAATTTAGTATTTTTAGAACAGTAGGCAATATTTCATATATACTGCACAGTAAGCAGTGTGCTACTCCACAATGTTCTCTGTCAAGAGTTTCTCCTGTGCCAGAATAGTTAAAGAAGGTTTTATAGAAGGTGAGAGATCCAGTGAGTGTCAAGTGTTTGCCTGACAGTCTCGCTTTATTCACACTCTCCTTTATGATTATAAATATACTGACCTGCTGTAATCTGTTTTTGATAAGCAAATAAACTTGATACCAAGTCGATAGTTCTGTCATAACATGCTTTACTGTACTGACTCATGTACAGCAAGTATTATGGGTTTTGCTTGATCTCCTCTGATGTATTCTATTAGATTGATTGTTCTTGCTGTTGCTCACAGAAAACATATCAATATTAATGATCCATCTAGTTAGTATAATATGTTGCAATATGTGATATTATACTGGACCCTGTCTGTAAATGCACTGAGACTCTCTCCCTCTTTATGGCTGAGGTAATAGAAAAGGGTCAACCGAGTCCCCAAGGTGTAATCAATTATATAGATTTGCTGATCGATAATATACAACATGTGCATGCATCTCTCTCACACGTGCTGTAACTAGGCAGACACATGTTCGGTGATGTTCAGACTGCATGTTTCCATGCATGTACACTGCAGTGTTGGAGGGGTAACGCATTACTTGAAAAAGTAAACTTACTGTAACGTAAAGTCATGCTTATTTACTTATTCTTTATGCAAATGATTTGTTTTCCCATTTCTGAACTGGCAGCTTTCCTGTCCCCATGTTGAGAGATATCAGGAGTAAGTGCAGAGGCGTTGCGTGCGCTGCTGTGTAAACACGTTTGTAAAAAAAAAAAAAAAAAAATAGATTCAGTATTCCTCAAAATAAATAAAAATAAATATTGCAGCAAACCTGCAATAATGAAATCTTAAATAATATAAAGATACTTTATGCATTTAATCTCACTTTATTAATCTTTTCTGCTGACTTTCAATGATCCAATTCAACCATAGCAACAAGAAAAATCGCATAGTGTTTAATTTTTTTTAATTTTATGTAGAACTTTATTCTCATGTGTCCTATTCTTCTGTAATCCAGATTGACAGCTATTTTTGAGCTAGTTTGAGCCTCGTCCTCCATATAAAGCAACTAAGTAATGCAATTATTATTTTTTTTAGGGATTAATACACTATATTAATGCCTTACTTTTCGAAGTAACTTTCCCCAACTCTGGTAAATTTTTTGTATATGTTGTATGTATGCATGGACACCCTGAAAAGAATATGGTATCTCTTATTATATATTATATCTCATTCTTTTCTAATGTGTAAAAATTATAATAAATAAAAAAAATTTTAAATAGCATTTTTCTTGAATTTGATTTCAATAACTATTTTACATACACGCATTTTGGACCCTAATTTCTAACATTTTTGTCATTCTTCATTGTTTTCAGACCCCATCTTGCTTTAGAATACAGTGGCAAGGTACGTACATTGTTTTAGTATACAGGTACATTCAAAATGACATGCAAGGCTTTTAAAGAGAAGAAATGTTGCAGTAATTGTGATTTCTCCGTCTTTTTCCATTTAGGCCACTAAAATCCACCAGCGCGCTTTTGGTAATGACCACCCCATCACAGCCCGGAGTCTGGAGCTGCTAGCCACTGTCTATGCTGAGATTGGCAAAACAGAATATACAAGTAACTTAACTATTTGATTCCACATGTTATGTCTTCAGTTTCCATTCAGACATGCCACTAAAACATTGTCAACATTGCATAAATAATTAGAAAGTTAATTGCCCTTACAAAAATTTACCATGATATGCATACACAAGGAAAAAAAAAGGTTTACTCAGAAATTGATAGTAAATTTTACAAGTAATTAGAAAGAATCGGTAAGAAACACGTTGAATAAAATGTGAAATTAAAGTAGAAAACTGGTACAGTATGTAGGGCGGGACTTGATTTAGTCCATAGAGAATTGATTGTATGGTTGTGGTTTGCTATTGGTGGATCTCTTGTGATTGACAGCTTGCCCCGCCCTCGCGCCAGTAAACACATCATCACAACTCATCACATCACACATTTTTTATTTATAATACATACTGCAATGTTCCATATAAAACAATATTTGTCAATTTTGAGTTCATGGTGACTTTCAAATGAAAGCTTTCTGTATTTTAGTTTGATTTGTTTTTATCATTTTTAATAGTGACAGTGGTGGCTATAACCAACTTACCTGGATAGTTTGCTGTATGTTAAATTTGTATAAAACTGCAATTAATCACATCTACTTTACAACTTTGGTCCATTACATCCCATTTACACAATGGTTGCATAGGTGTACTGGAACAATCCTTCATAAAATGCATTAAACTTTTAGGTTAGTTTTATCGTAGTTTTCGACAAAAACTACGATAAAACCTGGCTTTGAGTGTGAAATACCAAACTTGTCCTTTAAGAACTTGCATAAAGGCTCATTTACTATTTCCACTCAGTGAGGAAGTAAGGAAATTGCACTGCATTTACAGTTCTGTACGATTAAAAAACTGCGGAGGTAAATGAACCTAATGAGTAAACATGTATTCCAAGCATGCACTTTCTGTCAGTCGCTGATGGCGTTGTAGATCTCTGGCTGAAAAGCTGGGCCATGTCTTTGACAGTTTGAGGCCAGGGTGTTTTTGTAAGCAGAAATGCTTTGCTAGTTTTCTGGAGGGACGGGTCGCTCTGTGTCTTCCCTATTGCCTTTTTCCTGGACGATGAAAAATGTATTGTATAGGGCAGCAATGTGTCACGTACGTCAAACTCAGCTGCCAAGTCAGCTTTTTGAGAGAAAATGCTTTCCCCACAACATATCACCAGTCATAGTTTCAATGCTAAATTATTCTCTTCTAAACTAATTTCATCATACAGACTGTACCGACTAAAAACAAATGTGTGTTGCTTATTTTGCAGATTAAATGCCAAATATGTTGTTTTGCAGTTTGTAATGCGCTCTTATGATGAATCAATCTCTATCAGGTGCGCTCGCAATTAGAGTTCGGCTTTTTCCGGCAGATGCCGGATGACGGCACCCGAGAAGACTGCGCTCTTTCTGTAACATCATCTCTGACAGTCAATTTGGCATAAAACCTCTTTTCTTGATTAATTTCTCAAGTAATATTTACAATCACATAAATACGTCTTTGACTTCACATTGGGGGCTCGTCCGGGATCTGTTGGTAATTGCTTAGTCAACCATGGACACAGGAATCATCTCAAAAATGGTTTTTACTTTCACTCTTCATTAAAGTTGATACAATCTTGAGTCTTTTGCTTTCCATTCATGTCACAATACATTGGAACAGATGAACTTGATTTGCAGTTAGATTTTCTTCAAACAGTAAATTTGTGTTCATTTTTCCAGATTCGCTGGGAGAGTGTGTGTCAACTCTTTCCAAGAGGTTCTCAGCCAGCGAGTCATTTAGCGACGCTCTGAGTGGCATTTCTCATAGCCATAAGGACAGACACTCTCAGCTACGACACCGAAAACAGCCATATATACAACAGGAAACTCTTAAAACTAAGGTAATCCAATGATTCAAAGGACTTCATATTATGTCTATCAAACTTACTAGAAGTCAATAGATTTGTCTTTTCTGATTTCAGGTCATAAATGAAAAACTGCCCACCTCTATCCTAAAAAGGTCCAACGTGAGCAATGTGGAGTCAGACTCCTCGCGCAGGAGAAAAAACGAGAGGCGAGTTCGCTTCAGAGAGCCAGAGATCACTGTTCATGGTAAGAGAGTTCAAATAAACCTGCTCTAGCAGTCCCTACAATCTCCAGTCTTTTTCAACTGTTCTGTAAAGTGAAAAATTGTAAAATAGTCAAAAGTAGGTTAGTGAAAGATTTGTCTTACTTAGAGCTGAGGTAAATGAATCCCCTCATTCTGAAAAAAAAAGAAAAGAAGGGATGCACAAACATGCCCAAGTGAATTACTTTCTAATTTGCATGCAAATGAGGCAATGTGCAATCTGTGCCAACAAGACTGTTATGTTAATGAAACAAAGAATCTAATTTAAAGAATTACGCTTTAGTGCAGTTTGTCTCTCTCAAGAGCTCTAGTCTTGTCGAAAGGCCTTGTTGAAAATTGACCGTCGTGCTTCCTTTTGTTCATACACTAGAGTCAAGTGAAGTCACCGATTATTTATATAGCGCATTATACAATACAGATTGTTTCAAAGCATCTTTACTCATTTTAGCTCTACGAAAATAGTGTCATTATTCAGCTGAAGTCAGTTCAGTGTAAAGATAATCAATTATTACATTAGTTAATTTAATCTATTTTCATCTAAAGCAGTTGTGCAGAAAACAGTGATGTCGTCATCCAACTCAGTTCAGTTCTCATCCAATAGTGTCAGTGCAGTCAGATCAATAATATTGTTGAATGTCAAGTGTCCCCAACTAAGTAAGCCAGAGGCGACAGTGGCAAGGAACCCAAACTCCATCAGGTGACAGAATGGAGAGAAAAGCCTTGGGAGAAACCAGGCTCAGTGAAGGTGCCATTTCTCCTCTGGCCAACGAACGAACACAGTTTGATTATGATTCAGGCTGCATCAAGTAGAATTAAGGTGCAGTCACATTACCAAAATTTCACGAGCAAATATCCAATGTCTATTGTCAATAGTGTAGCAATGAATCGTATAGAAATCACTATCAAAACAAGCAGCTTTCTGTTGGTCAATGCAGCAAATTTCAAGTTACTATTAAAATGAGTGGAATTCGTCTGCAGAGCAGTGGTAAATGTGACCGCACCTTTAGTTATATGAATGTTTATGAGCTTTACAAAGACCTCGACTAGCTTGAAGTCAAACCTAAAACTCATTATTACTTTTTATGTTGGCTTTCCAGACATTCCGTACTATGACTGTTTAGGAGGTAAGAATACTAGATAAATGTGTTGTTGAACAGTGTCGTAGATCTCAAAAATGCATGAAAACATGCATGACATTTACTTGCATGCAATCTGAGACTCAGAACAGCCTTAAAGTTTATTAGTAACTCTTTGCTGTGGTTTAAAAATGTAGATGAATTTTACTTCAATTTGTTTGCCTTTGCCTAAAAATGTGACATTTGTGCATGCTAAACCCAAAGAAAGAGAGATTTTTCTTAATTTTCTTTGCTAGCCAGGGAATAATGCTCCCCACATGCTTTCAGAAAATTCCTACTTCCCATTTCTGAAATCATAATTACGTGTTACTAATCATGGGGGACACTAGGTTCATTTGTGTGTATGGATTAGAATAGTAATCAAGTGGCTATTTTGATACGTAAATAGTCACTGATCAGGCACAACATTAAAAACACTTGCCTAATATTGTGCACATCCCCCTCGTGATGCCAAAACAGCGGCAAAAACTCATAAAAAGTTTTACGTTTTTAATTGAAAACAGTGCCGTGTAAAAGACCCCTTAAGAAACTTTAGCAAAATAGCCTTTAAGACAAGCTAACTGCTAACTACCTAAAAAAATTATAAGAATTTAAGCACATTTAAAGAATGACAAATGTAGCATTTCACACCAAATCTTTATGAATTTTTGTGCTGCAGTGTACGACACCCCCCAGAGCCATTTGCACCTGGCCTTGCTCACCTGCCTGTTCCTGCTGCTGTCTGCGCTGGGTCTAGCCCTGTACTGCACGGACCGCCGAAGACCCCAGCGTGCCTGCGAGGAGCTGCAGACGGCACTGGCTGTGTACCTGCTTCAATTCAAACAGATTGTTTGGGCCTGCTGGATCTGGCTGACCATGCAATGACCATAACCGACCACAGAGGGCAGCAACGAGCAGGAGAAAAAAACACGAAAGGTCAGAAAGGACTGTGGAGTAAATAAAAGGGTCCTTGTTTTTTTTTATTGCTTTATTTTCACTGTTATATATTCAGACTGGTCACCAGTTAAAGCTTTTGAGGATGTTCAACATCCGCCTCTTTTATTTTGAAGTTGACTGAAGGCCACGCCATTAAGTGATGGTGTGCTTTTTTGCCCTTTATGGTGGCATATCCATTGCCACAACCTCATTATACTGAGTCGTATATAATCAGAAATCTGTATATGTAGCTATTTGTCCTTGTATAGCTTTTCTGGTGTTTTAAAGCATCTGTTACTCCTTTTCCAAGTAATACTTGTGCAGCAATAGTAATTTAACCCTTTATCAATCAGGACTGTCAAAACAGAACACGAATGAATGATTTCCGTCTATAACACTTAGAGCCCGACTGATATATTGGTACTGTAGGTCAATATTATCATGCACGATATACCGAGAACCTGTATTGGACTTTAATAAGCAATATTGAAAAGAACGACATGTAACGTTGAGTAGGCCTACATGCATTTACTGTCACAAATAGTATATTTCATAAATATATATTTTAACCCTTAAATGCTTGAATGTTTAATCAATCTTTATTACCGGGTCTTTAGCAACCCGAAACTATATCTGACACGGATAGATCTCCAACTGCTGAAATCGCATAAAACTCTCCTGATATTTTAATAACAATTACAAAATAATTGTTTTCTCATTTCCCGAATACATTCAGCATCTGTGCCTTTTTCATGAACATATTCTTATAACTATCATTTTCAACATTTTCAAAATCAATATTTTGATTGCTGACAGCTTCTTCCACCATCAAGTAAGACTAAAACTTGATTGGATTCGGTACTTGCTCTACAAGTACCGAATTTTAATTATCCGTGGTAATTACGAGTGAAACATCACACCATCATTGTCCCCTTGAGGAATAAAGATGAATTGCACTGATTGAGTCATAAGAGATTTAATTATTGCCGCGCAGAAGAAAATTCTTACACTATTACATACCTCGGGTCACTAGCGACCCTATAAACTTTTTACAAAAAAAATGAATTAGAAAACAGACATTTTTTATAACGTTTTTTTCTTGTTATATTGATTGAGGAACTCTAAGAAGGTTGATGTCTAACTTTAAAAAATGAAGGAGGGGTAGGGTAGGGAATGCTGTCCCGGGGCGATAAAGACCCGAGGTGCATTTAAGGGTTAATGCCGATGACACTTTTAGACACACACACATCGCATGTGCTAACAGAATTAAATGCATTTTAAATGCATGGCTGGATCAATTCCTGCTAGTGTCGCACTTTGCATTCTTTGCATAAAATATTTACCTCACTATTTTGTCATAAGATACAAATATCAATATGAGGGCTTTCTGATTCAAAGGGTGAATTTTGAAACCCGTTGCACTTAATTTCTTGTATTAAACTAATAAAGACAGGATTATATTCTAGATCTATTTATATGGATTTTAAATTAAATTAAAACACATTAACATATGAATGCAGTTAATACATATTGACTTGAATATATAATTTTGTTATTGGTTAAGTTTGTACAATATCATGTTGTACAACTCCCTTAATATTTACTGAATGAATACTTCATTGGAATTAAAAAAACGAACACTATATTTAAAAGCTTTTTTTTAAAAAAGTAATGATTAAAATGTTGTACACTCGTCTGAGGAAAATGTTTTGTTACTTTTTACGTGATGGTTACACCACATGATCATTTTATTGTCGGTCAATATAAACTTTCTTGTAAATGTTAAAAAAGTTGAAACCAACCATATGAAACCAACATGAACACAAAGAGTACATTTCTAGATATTTTTTTATCATGAACACACTTATGCCATTGGATCAAACCCAAAATCAGTCGGGCTCTACAGAATGCGCACACTGTATGAATCAATGTATCACAGCTTTTTAATGTCAGGAATTATTTCATTTATTTAATTCTTTTATTTTAAAATGCACTTGCTGTACATAATGTGGTTGAATGTGTCTGTGGAATGCAAGACAATGCTATTTATTTTACTAATAATCAAATATGTTTAGAGTACAAATATGCGTTTTATGCATTATCAACATGTATAAACAGAATGACACTAATCGTTGTTAAAGAATATATTATATGTAATGTACATGTGAAAAGAGAAGAACTGGCACAATGACGACACCTTTAACATTACTTTACTTGACGAGTTGAAATGAAGGGCAAAGTTGTTAAGCACAAACGCTTCCATCTGACACAAATTCTCCCCGAAAAGAGATACAAGACGCACATCCAAGGATGTGTTGGCCATATTTTGTCTCATGCACTGCCAGATTTAACTGGCAAATGCAAGAATGCCATTTTAGAGATGCTTTATGACACCCGCAACATTTGAGTTTATATTTTACATGAACCTGTACCAGCATCTTGGCCTAAGCCTATGGTGCATTTATTTGTTTTACTTTGTTTTGTATCAGAATTTTCTTTTTACTATTCCATTTAAATTTTACACTTTTAGTCTTTTAATATTCCATTATAGCAGCAGCTTTTCAGTCTCTACTTTCTAGTTTTTGGGTGAGCATTTGGGAAAAAAATCTAATTACATTAGTCTTTGGATTCTGGTGTCAAAAATAAGTTTTCAAACATAATATGTTCTCCATTAGCAACCAATTTGGCATGTATTGCTGTAGTAAATGAGGAGATACATACACACACAACCATTCAAAAGTTTGGGGTCAGTAAGATTTTTTTAAAATACTTTTTTCACTATGGATGCATCAAATTGATCAAAAGTGACACTAAAGACACTTTCCACAGAAATATTAAGCAGCACAAGTTACTGTTTGATAATAATAAGAAATGTTACTTAAGCATCAAATCAGAATATTAGAATGATTTCTGAAGGATCACGTGACACTAATGATGCTGAAAATTCAGCTTTTTATCACAGGAATAAATTACATTCTAAAACATATTAAAATAGAAAACCTTGATATTAAATTGTAATAATAATTCACATTTTTTCAGTATTCATGATCAAATAAATGCATCTTTGGTGCAAATGAGAGCTTTCTTGCAAAAAAAAACTTACCAAACCCAAGTATTAGATTTTGCGTCATGTTGATTGAAAATACAATTGGATTAAATTCATCAGAGTTAAAAGGTGTACAAATCATCTGTGAACTGCATCAAATCACTGTGAGTTACTTGGATTGAAGCATCTGACATTGTCAGACACAAAACAAATGTTTTATTATATGGGTGTCATTTGCATTATGTATTTGCTATTTATATGTGCATTGTGCACTGATTATTAAATGTATGCAACAGACAGTTATTTAGCACACTTACTTAATGTACCCGTTTGAGGGGTATTCAGACGACAGAAGGGAAATCAACTAAATATGTTGTACTGTTGGGCCAGCCAATCACTGAAGCAATACAATTGTAATGTGTACTTCAATAGAGGTGCTTTTTGGCAGTATATTCACTGCTTCACTGCTTACTTTCTTTAGTTTCAAAAATTAAAATATTAAAAACCAAACAGAGCTTTAAATGGTCTTTAGTTTAAAGACTGAATTTTATTTTCATGATCAGAAAAATCACAAATTGCTTTGTATTTTCATCATCATTGCTGTTAATACTGCTATCATTGCTTTTATTAAATAAAAGCCCTAAAACAAATATAGGCCTATAATGTCGAAGAGATGTGTTCACACTATGACACAATAAATAAAAAGGATGCACAAAACAATGTCTGCATAATTTTTTGTGGGCCTGAGAGTGTTGCAGAATCACAGCGAATCACGACTCGTGCTCACACGCCATTAACTAGCAAAACTAAAATAATCCTTTTATAAGATGCTTAAACCGAAAATAAAAGGCATACATCAAAATTGATTCCAGCATGCGCAATAATACTTCAAAACATAGTGAACTATATGGAGCGTAATAGCATAAACTTTGTAGATTCTAGGAAAGTAAGTAAACTGAATGAAGCAAATCATTAAATAGTCCCTCCGAATGTCATGTCCCGAAGACAGATTAGTCACTTCAATATCTTTATAGAGCCTTCCTCTTCACCAGTGTATTTTTATAGCATATATGTACATGCAAGCATGTTTTGAATCCCTTTACATAGGAAAGATACTATCACAGTCATATACATGAATATATATGTCTTACACATGGAGGAAGTAGTCGAAGGGAATGATCTTTAAAAAAAAGAAAACCAGAAATGGATCACACACACTTTAAATAGTGTTAAATCTAGTATTGCCTGAGCTACAATGTATGTACTGAATCCAACTCCGCTGACGGAATAGAGACTGACTGGAAGCTGTCGCTTATATCTAAAACCGATTTAAGGGAAGCATTTGGTTGAGGACAAAAACATAATTGTCAATAAGACTTTGATTGTATGTCACACGGGATTTATAAGAACATTTATTTAAGTACACTTCCTTAAAGGAGTAGTTTACTTTTAAAATTAAACTTATGCTGATAGTTCTCACCCCCATGTCATCCAAGATGTCCACGTCTTTCTTTCTTCAGTCGAAAAGAAATTAAGGTTTTTGATGAAAACATTCCAGGATTTTTCTCCATATAATAGACTTCAATGGGAACCAAACGGTTCAAGGTCCAAATGAGTTTCAGTGCAGCTTCAAAGGGCTTTAAACGACGCCAGACGATGAATAAGGGTCTCATCTAGGACCCTTCGAGTCATGACTCAAAAAGATTTGTTCATTTTGATGAACGAGTTTGAACAGGAGAGTCACTTGGACCTTGAACCGTTTGGTTCCCATTGAAGTCCATTATATGGAGAAAATACTGGAATGTTTTCATCAAAAACCTTAATTTCTTTTCGACTGAAGAAAGAAAGACATGGACATCTTGGATGACATGGGGGTGAGTAAATTATCAGCAAAAGTTTTTTCTTTTTAAAAGTTAACTACTCCTTTAAAGGGATAGTTCATCCAAGAAAAAGAAAAGAAAATTGTCATAATTTACTTACCCTCACGTCATTCTAAACCCATATCACTTTTGTTAATTTTGAAACACAAATAAAGAGATTTCTGTCCCTCTACTAAAACGTTCATAAAGACACAAAAAAAGTAATCCATATGATTGCTTTATATCCTTTAGGTGTTTATTTAAATAGAAATTGACCAATAGACGTACAATACATAAATCACATCAAATATGGTAAACGGAAACTCCCAAGGAGAGACCAATGAGGTTTGCTTCTATTGATCATTTTTGATGTGCTATGTGCATTGATCAGTGTTTATAAAGGGATTATGTCTCTTTAAGAGACTTGGATTAATCTCTTAAATCATATGGATTACTTTTATACTGTTGTCATTAACTTTCTGAAGTTTTCACAGGACAGACAGGTTTCATTCAGCATCTTTTGGAAAGGCTTATGGATTCAGAACAAAATGATGGCAAGTAAATGACAGATTTTTCCTTTTTGAGTGAACTATCCTTTTACATTATTCATGCTCACTATTCATTTTGTTCAGGGTCTAGTGTTTTAAGCTCAACATCAGAAATCGCTGACCTCAGTCCAAACAATCGAGTGCACATGAATGTCTATTCTCAGTCATCGTCCAAAGTCAAATAAAATGTTATTCAGAAGCATCTGGCTCAATTAAGCTCAACTGAGGTCAATCATTAGTTGTCAATACACCAACTAATAAGCCATATTTAGAAGCTTATGAATACATTTTACTTGACGGTACATTGACGGAAATGTTCTATAATAGTTGCGTTGCAAAATGTTGAGTTTATCATATCATGCCACTTTTCTCATCTACCACATCTGAGCACCGGCGTGATGAGCGTCCGAGTAGGAACTCTTTCTCGTGGATCAAGCTGTCGACCAGATCCTCTTGACGGTAGTTATGGTAGACCTTCAGAAAGGCCATGACTGTGATACCCAGCCAAGTCAGCCAGGCCGCCCACAACCCAAACTAGAGGAAAGCAGAAGAGGCCTGACGGTTATATTCATGATAAAAATTGGTGTGAAAGCAGTGTGAAAACACAATATTACTCAAAAAAACGTAGCAAGTTGCCTAATCTAGAAGTCTACAACAGTTTTAGCAATGCTATCTCACTACGAATTCGTACGATTGATTAAAAAATGGCTAATTCGTACTAATTCATACGACCTCACTCGTACGAATTCGTACGATTTGTCTAAACCCACGTGATGGGTAGGTTCAGGGGCGGGGTCAGGGGTAGGTCATTCGTACGAATTCATACAAATTGGCCAATTCGTAAAATGTGTATGATTTCGTAAAAATCACTCTTAATTCGTACGTGTGAGGTCGTACGAATTGTTACAAATTATCCATCTCGTAAAATTTGTACGAATTGCCGTGAGATCGGGTTGGTTTTAGGGTTAATAGAGAAACTTTCGGTTCCATCATCCAAGTCAATGGGTTTTTTAATGGGATTTTGGTTAAATACATGAAATAAGGTCTGTGGTCAAAACACCCTCAATATATTTTATTTTAAGACGTAAAAATTGTCGTTTTAAAAAAAAAAACAAAAAAAAACATTTTACTTGTCTTTAACTTTTTCCCGGCCATTGACGGAATTTTTCGCTTTCCGTGTTATCACTGTTATACGGCCTTATAGTTAAAGTATTTGAAAAGTTACATTTTTGACAGAATGTCAGCTTTTATAGGAGGTTGCAAAAGTGTCTTAATTTGTTACTAGGTTGTTGTGAAAATGTTCTAGTGTTTGCAGATATCTGACTACAGGTACGTTTACATGACAACAATTAACTAAAAACGTAAAAAAAAATCCTTTGCATTATTCGTGTACAGACGACATTGTTGTCAAAACGATCCCGTTCACATGGATCCACGAAAACAATAAAAGACGCTGTAGTATTAATTCCAGGCCAGTAGATGGCGATAAAACTTTGTAAAGAAACACTACATGCCTATAAACTGAACACGTTATACATATGCGCATGACGTCACCATTCCACAAATCCACGTTTTGTAGTTTACATAGATCCTGAGAATCATAGAATCCTGTTAACAGAAATTTGCGTTTTCAGGCCACCAAAACGGCATTGTAAATGAACCGCCAAAACGCATTGAGTTTTACGTTTTTAAGTGTACTACGTACATTTTTTTAAAAGTTTGCTTCACAAAAAATTAACATTGTGTTATATTTGCTCTCATTTCATTCTAAATTTGTATGACTATTTCAGTGGAACACACACACACACACACACAAAAATGATTTTGATAAATTAGTGTATCTCTAGTTCTAGCTACAATGGAAATCAATCTTCAAAGTATCTTTTGTGCTCCGCAGAAGAACAAAAGTCACACAAGTGATTAAGTGTAATTATAATAGAGTGAGTCATTTTTTTAGATGAACTATCCCCCTAAGACAACATAATGAACCCTGTTGATATAAACCACTCATGTTTGTATTCTTAACTGACCAACCTGTGCTATGGCAAACTGGTCATAAAAAGCAGAGTTGTCCAACCCTAGTTCAAGATCAGTGTCCTGGAGATCCTCACAGCTAGAAATGAACAGTAGTCATTGTTAGAAATGATTCACAGATTCTTCAAGAAGCAACATTTATTGAGAGGAATCTGTTCATAAAAACTTGAAAAACAAACCTGCTTGTTATACAAACTCAGGGTTTATATTCAAATACTGTAGCAGTTTATGGACACTGAAACGTGACTGAACTTGAACAGTCACTGAAGTGGACTGAGCCAAAAAGCCCTTGGCTAATTTCAATGTCACTAAAACCTCCTCTGACAGAGAAAAAAAGGCCCACACAATTAATTGGGGCTCTTTCCACGCTATAAAGGCAGTCTGAAAACAAATCTCACATTGTTTAGTGTTTTTTATTAACTGAACATCATGCTTACCTGCTGGGCATACTGCCTCCTTCTGTGACGGCATCACACCATAGGTTGAAACCCACACTTACTATTGTGCTGGACAGGAATACAGCAAACACTACGAATGTGCTGATGAGCAGGTTTAGGAAGGCATTGAAGATTGAGCTATGTAAATAGAAAAAGAGATAGTTTAGTCATTGTTTACTCACTCCAGCCATTCTAAAAATTAAGCCTATTATTTTTTTCTTCTGTGGAACACAAAAGAGGATATTTTGCAGAATGTTGAGTTGATCTTTTACATAAAATGAAAGGACAGGACAGTGTCCTTAAAACCACATGGCATTTGATGCCAGACTAGAGACTAAATCAGATTGTAATAATTAATCAATATAATCTCAATTAGTATGCAAATATAGGTACATTCAATGACTTTTTAACTTTTCTGTGACTAAATCATTCAAATGTATTATACCAGCTCATTAAACCTACATTAAAAACTCCATAATCACAGATAGTATCAGTTTGTTATGATATTGAACAATTGTCCCATATAATAAAATATTTAACTAATACCGTATGACATCACATTATAACTGCATCCACGCTTCCCAATCACCGCACTGGCACGGGTTTAACAGCTACGTGAGACATCAAATCACAAGTTAAACGATTAAATGAAGAATCGCTCACTCATCGTGGCCTTTGCAGATGAAGAGCAGAAGCCTCCAGGCTTGCACGGCGGCCAGGATGAGGGACGCGATGGCGACAGCGGTGATGAAGCTGCAGGAGGACTGAGGTCCCCATTCCTCAATGATGAAGCGCTGCTTAGACACCGTGATGTTCTCATTCTGCCACATACCCCGCGTAAAAAGCAGACATTTTCCACGAAAATCTTCCGTGTTTTCCGACAGAGGTACTATGGCTATAAAGCCAAAGACGAAGGCTAAAAAATAAAGGATGCATTGCGCAAATATTAAATTATCCATTCGGATTTTGTCTGAGCTGTGTTGGTGCGGCTCGAGCTGTCTCTCGCGCTACTGCGGCTGCGCAGTCCGACTCTGCAGCACAGGCGAGCAGAGATACAGCTGAGGGCATTTTCGGAGGAAAACTAATCCGAACCCCACAACACAGCTAGTAGTAGTTTTTATGGAAGGCTAATCAATACAAAATGCTAAAAAATCGGGTAACGCGTTCAATACACGTACTTTACTAAATTACCAAATCCTAAGTCAGACAGTTTTATCGTGTGTAGGCTTTTAACAGTAGGCTATTATAGGCTTACTTATTGTTTCAAGAATAGGCAGCTTTACAGTAGTTTAATAGCAACATTCTACTTATTTTTAAATAACATTGAAAGGTTAAGTCAAATGTAAGCCTTTTTGTGATATATTATGGCAGTCTAGACACAGATACTAAACTACACACTATTTATTAAATAGCCTATATTATATTACATTATATTATTCGCACATAAAAATACAAAACCAGTTTACAAAGCTTGACAGAGCAAAAATTTGCCAATGTGCAGTTCTGAATCAGAACAGATGTCATCCTTTTGACATGACAAATGTTAACTCCATTAACAGTCTTCTGGCTTCCGACTTCAAGAATACTACACAATACTACTGTAACTCAATGAAATGTCTGAAAATGTTCAAATAGTTCATTTTAGAAATATGGTGGACGCATGAATCTTTGTGTTCCACACAAGGTAAAAAAGAATAAATGCTGAATAGCTGATGTGATTGTATCATATTAGTTAATTAATTCATATAAATTAATAAAACCGTGTTGTAGGTGATAGCCTATATATATATATATATATATATATTTTTATATATACTTTTTTTTTTTTTTTTTCTGACCCCATGACTCAACTCATTTATACAATTCCATGTGACCCTTTGTAAATTTGATAAAAGATGCCTGTGAAAATAAATCTTCATTATTTATCTTTTTGATCTTTCATTCATGAAAAAATATAACATTTCATTGAAGTAAAAGAATTGAAAATGTGGGGGAAACCCTTGTGGTTATGGACCTTAAACACTTTTCAAAAGACAAAAGAATGGTCTTAAATATTTCAATTAGAAAATGGAAAACAGTTTTGATTTATTTCTAAATAAATTTTCTTTTCTTTTTCATTTGTTGTTAGACGTTGTGGAATGAATGTTAATTGTTATATTGTGAGAAAAGAAAAAATATGATTGTACTTGCCTGTACTATATAGTTAATATTTTATCCGACATGAAAATGTACTGCATAACAGTACATACACTCTAAAAAATGCTGGGTTGTTTTAACCCAATTTTGGGTCAAATATGGACAAACCCGAAATGTTGGGTTAAAAATGTAATGTAAAAATTTAACCCAACGGCTGGGTTAGTCCATATTTGACCCAAAGTTGGGTTAAAACAACCCAGCATTTTTTAGAGTGTACATAAAGCAAATTTCTTAAGGCTCAGAAGGAAGTCCAGTGAGGTGCTTTCTCAACTCGGCCCCACATACTGTACTGTACACGCTTCAGCTGTTTAATACAAAGTGGATTTGTGAGGCGCAGAGCAGCCAAGAAACCATTCTTGCAGAACGGCAACAAGCAGAGGAAATTACAGTATCTGGGTCCATTTACCTTTGAGTAACAACCAGTGCCAGAAAGTCCATTGAAGCAAGGAGTGCAAATAAGTGTAACGGTTGGTTACAAAGAGGCCTTCTGTAAAGTGCAGTGAAAGCACTGTCACGGCCTGTACAGTGAGAGTATCATAACATAAACAATATTGTGTTGTCACTTGGACAGGACAATAAGAAAACATTATCTAGGCTATTCAGCAACTCAAACACACTAAACCAACAATTACTAAAAACAGATTCTGCACGGGCATTTCACTCAGTTAAATGAGAGAACGCTTTTTCAAGGCACAGTATTTACACAATATTATTCAAAGGTATTTGGACACCAAAGGAATTCACGTTTATTGCTAATATTATTTGTAGCGATACAAAGCAATAAATTATTAATTAATTCTTTTTTTTTTAATATACAGCAAGTTATACGAGATTCAATTAAAATTTAAGTTGAAATTACTTTTAGTGTGGGTTCAAATGATAAATGCAGAACAATTCTAGTTGGAGAAAACTAGAATAGGCTATTTTACATTTGCTAGAAGTGAACTGAAGCTGCCAGTCCCTATACATTGAAAGTATTGAAATAAAGAGTTATTGTCAAAAATCAAATGATTTGTGTAGCCTATGTGACACTGCATTAAACTAAAGAATAGTGTAATTGTTAAATTAGGCTATAATTCATCAAGACCTACATGCACTTCACTCCAAAGCATCTTCCCAATAAAATATAAATGACTATGAAATAGGCAGATGCATTTTCAAGGCTTATAGCGCCTCCTTTAGGAAGAATAGTGATTTAAATACATTTGTAAAACTGCAGATTTATATCATACAATTGTGAATATAATTTTTAATAGAAAATTAAATTCAATATTAATTTCTGGTAAATTTGGAATTAAGGCTGGTCCTGGTGCTATGTGTTTTATGGATAAAGATTTACTTCAGAAATTAACTCGTAAAATAAAACGCAATAACGAAACAAAGAAAAACAACGTAAGCTAAAATGTTTTTACAAACCTATTTGTTTTACAAAAATAAGCGAGGAATTTACAGCATCAGTGATCCTTCGCGCACTGAAAGCGAAAGATGCAAACGAAAATGCCCGGAACCATTGTTTCTGGGTCTCGTGTTACCCGTGTCATTCTGCTGCTGCACTCTTACAGCAAAGCAGGCGGCGCTGAGCAGTCGTGAAGTAGTTTGATGCTTGAAGTGTGACAGGGCCATTACGAGAAGACCAAGAGGAACGGCATGGCACTAAACTTGACTATCAACAGTAGCAATCCACCTCTAGGTAAGTACAAATGCGATGTGTTCAATATGTTTCAAGCTACATTGCATTTTGCCGCTGAGCTCGCGCACCCGGTTCAATGGATTGACACGCAGAACATCCTCGTGCCGTCGTGGCATAATCTAAAATTATCAGTCTGCCATTCCCAATGTTCACTAGGCTTTTCGTGTCTTTCACCGCTTTAAATTTGATTAGATTCAAAGCTATATATTTTACTGTAGTGCCTCCATAAAAGTGATTCAGAAGTATGGCTAATTTGTGCCTCTTTGTTTTGGTTTCATTATTATGATGAGTTCATGCAGTCCCATACAGAACTAAAACAAGGTTTTCTTGGTTTTAGAACCTTTCCACCATATAACTACAATACAACAATGTTGGTATAACTGCAGAATGGTATTTATTAGTTAGTAAATGAATTGAAGTGCGCCATTCAGTGCTTGGGGAAGCTGTGTCACTGGCTGATGCAAGTCATTTGAAAGAGCTGTCTGAATCTGTTTACTTTACTCCACACCTGTCTTTGAGGATCATCTAACTCCTTCTGTTATAAATCTTTAAATGTATATGTGTAGTAAGGGGAACTCTTTTTAATGGTCTCATATGATGGATTCAAATTAGAAATGTTGAATCTTTGCAAAACCAGGAGGAAATGTTGGTTTGACTGGTTTTATTGATGACAGTAAATGGGTGTGTCAGACATTTGTTAACAAACAAAATTTTTCATCATAATTGAGATTGAGAGAATGAACACACCTAAAAAGCAGGAAATGCCATGCATAAAATGTTTGCATTAATGCAGATTTGCAAGTCCTGTACTGAGGCAATAGTATCCAGCTGCAGACCTGCAGTGCCAGCAGTTTCAGGTTCAAGTTTTAAAAATTTTAATTTTTAAATATCAAGCAATGCTGTAAACAGTGTTATTGATAGTAATTGTATCTATTTTATATTTAACTAATGTAACCCTGATTTAAAATGCTTTCCATTTACTATTATTATGTGATATTATTTCCTTTGTGCTCAAAATGTTACAAGCAGTAGACCATAAAAATACAGAGTATAATGTATTTAATAATGCCAAATTCAAATAAATATTTAATACAAAGCCTTGAAGAAGTTTAGTGTGCATTTGAAAACCCCCCAAAAAAACATTTAGGCCTAAAAAAACAACCTAACAATAATTCATCTGTCAATCTGTGTGTGTGTGTGTGTGTGTGTGTGTGTGTGTGTGTGTGTGTGTGTGTGTGTGTGTGTGTGCATTTATGTGCAGAATGATATTACAGCATTTGGAAATAATTTCAGCTTAGATTTGTGTTTGAATATACAGTACTAGGGACAGTAGTAGATATCCACTGCTTCTGTATTTCTCTGTAATTCACCTCTCTGCCTGTAGGGGCACTGTTGGCTGCTGAACATGTGAAGGGCAGCGTCAATGTCTCTGTCAAGGAGGGCAAAGACACCATGCTCCATGTCTCTGAGTGAGTATATGGCCTCTATGAGTACATACTTTATGTATAATATATTAGTTATAGTGTTTTATGGACACATTAAGAGGATACACATGCACAAATTCTCTTGTATTTATATTTATATATATATATATATATATATACAGTATACACACACACACGCATCATTTTGTCTAATTTTCCATTTCTCTCATTCGGTGCATCTCCTTCAGCGAGGTGCAGTTCAGTGACGTGAACTCCATCAGCCGTTATCTTGCCCGAGTGGCTCCGGCATTGGGACTGTATGGTTCTAACATGATGGAGCAAACTGAGGTTCGATTTGGGAATCATATACTACATTCTACTGGCTCTCTATAGCATGTTACAATCATTTCATTGGTTAGCAATGTTGTTTATTATTATGTTCTGTCTTTTTCAGGTTGATCACTGGCTGGAGTTCAGTGCCCGTCGTCTCTGTGGTCAGTCGGATCTGTCTTCTGCTCTGGCTGATCTGGATAAAGCTCTGGCACTGAGAACATTCCTGGTGGGTCACAGTGTGACACTGTCTGACCTCTGCATCTGGGCTGCTCTCAAAGGTCAGTCATTTGGCTCTATATATATTATTCACTTAAGTTTCAAGTCCAAAATCAAGACATCTCTACACATTTTTTGATCATTCTCAAAAGGAAATGGC